CTGATGTATCACTTCTCTAGATCACCCTGACAACAGGGACAGCAAACTTTCTCCATCAAAGACAAATGTTCACTCACCTTCCAGAAGACAAGAGGTCTCTGGGAGGAGATTCCATTATTTTTAGAAAGCCTATGGCTAGACTCTGGAGCAACACAGGCCAGGAGTGAGAATCAAGGACCATGACAGTGAGTGAGGAAAATGGCGCTACATGTTATGTGCATGTTTAATTGACATAAGGTCAGTGGTATGACCTTGGCCAAAGAAAAGGGAGTAAGAAGAGAAACAGTGTTTTAGAGAGGAAATGAGTTACCCTTTTAGAATGGCAGACTAGTTAAGTTAACAAGCAATCTTTTACTGGAACACAGCTAGAAAACCTGGTTTGAATATTACAGAAGTTAGTCTGTAAAAAGGAATCTGTTTGAAGACATGGGGAAAGAAGGGACTGTGAAATAGTACAGGCCAGGAGCAGACAGGCAGAAGGTGAACACAACCGCTGGGAGGACTCCTCCCTAAGGTACGTACCCATGATGCTGAGAGGAGCTGCCACAAGGGGAAAGCTGAGAAAGGCTTGTAATGGACTCAAGGAGGTGACAGTCTGAATGTGAAAGTGACCTGGAAACAGCTAGGAGTCAGGGGTGTGGAAAGGTTCACAGTGTAGATGCCTCAGAATTAATACTGACTGTACAAAACAATAACAACAGAAATAATAATAATGATGTCTAATGGGATTAAAAACCTGCAGGGAGTTAAAATGAATAGTGATAGCCTTTTATAGGGGAGGGGTACACATTTTAGAGCTGAAGGTCTTTCCACTGAACTAAAATCAGTAAATGTGCTAATTTAAAGTAGATGCTAGTAAGTCAAGAATGCACACTGCAATCTCTAGTAATGAGTAAAAGAATAAAAGAATGTATAACTAACAAGCTAATAGGGAGGGGAAAGAGGAATAATACAAGACAATTGGTTCAAAAGAAGGCAAGAAAGGGAAGAGATGTGAAACAGCCAAAACAAATAAAAAAATAGATAATAAGATTGCAGGTTTAAACTCAAATATATCAGCAATTACATTAAATGTAAATGGACTAAGTGCTCCCATTAAAACACACAGATTGTTGGAGGATAAAAATAAAAGGCAATTGCATTCTGCTTACAAAAACCAAACCTTAATATAGAGATGTAGGAAGTTTGAAAAGAAAAGAATGAAAGCAAGATACAGGCCATAAACACTGGCCAAAGGAACTGACAGAAAAAAAAAAAAAAAAAAAAAAAAAGACACAAGTGATGAGACGTAACCATAACAATGAAAGGCTCATTTGCAAGAAAGACTGTGAGAGTCTTTTTATACACCTAGACCATAACCAACCTCCATGTGCAAGTTAACATTCATGAGCAGCCCCCCTCGGAATCTGTGGGGGAATGGGGTGCTGGCTCCAATGCTCTCTCAGATTGTCTTTGGCTCCTTGTGCCCTTAGTGGTGTGAACATTCCAGCTCCCTCTGCTTGAGATACACCTTCTCTGTAACCTATACCCATAACAAAGCCAAGCATTTTATCTGGGGTCAGCCAAGAGACCATCATTTCCCCATCCTGGGAGAAGAGAGAGACCCCTTTAGGTGGACTGAGAGGTGCTGTATCCTTGTGACATTGTCTGCAAAGCCATCTATGGCTGGCCAGGTCATCAGTCTACTGGCTTTTGAAGACAGCTTTGGCCACTGTGATCCAATTGTAGCTAGAACATTGTGGTAACAAGGCCAGCTCTCCATTTTCACCTCAGTTACCAAACTTGATACATTTGGCTGGTAGAAGAGTCAGGTTTACAGAATAGCCTATCTGTTCAAAGTGAGTACTCCATCTCAAGCTGCATCTAAGAAACAATCCCCAGGAACTGTGGGTAATAGGATTTCCTGTAGATGACTTGGTGATGTGTAGATTCCTATTCATTTGTGTGTTTCTTTGCCATGGAGCCGGGAATGTGTCCACATCAGACATTCATCACCCACCCCTGGGCTCCTTCTCACCCCTGGGCTCATTTCTCGCTCTTGTTTCCCCTTTCCCTCATCTCCTGAATCTGTTAGACCATGGCTAAACTTGGAAGAGAGAATATTTTGAATTAGTTAATTAGGCTCTGTCAAAGTGATGTTGCTTCGCTCAGTCTTGACTCATCTTCTAAGAAGGTGTTGATGGGTTAGTGATGTGATTCTGTGGCACTACAAGCGCAAGGCTCTGGTTTAGTCACTAACAACACACATACACTTGCACACACATATGCATGCACGCTACGATCTACTGAATCCTAGCCCCCGTGTATGCGGATGTGTCTTCATTTGGAAAAGCGGTCTCTGCAAGTGATAAGGCAAAGATCTGTCCACAGGGTGAATACAATGTGGCTGATGCCTACGGAACTGCTAAGTTTGGACACAGAGATACATATATGGGAAAAGGCCATGAGCATGGGTCACTCTGCCACAAGCCACAGAGCTACAAAAGATGGGAGAGAGCCTGGAGCAACCTTCCCTGTATCTGTAGAGCCTGTGCCTGCCAATGCCTTGATTTGTCTACGCAACTGTGCGAGGTGCTTTGTGCAGAAATCCCTGGAAACAAATTCAGTGTGCACGATGACTTTAGTTCAAATGCTATTTCTCTTTAAAAAGTGTTAAATATGAATAGGAATAGATATCGGTCAGGGCTGCAGTGTGGACCATGGTAAAGTGTGAGGTCTTGGGTTCTCTGATGCTTAGTTTTAACTGTCAACCTGACAGTCCTCCTCAATGAGGGACTGTCAGGCTGGGCATGTCTGTGAGAGATTATCTTTATTACATTAATTTATATGGGAAGGCCTAGCCAAGAAGCGGGTGGCACCCTTCCCTGGGTTTGGGTCTGGATTGTGACAATAGAGAAAGTAAGCTGAGTGTGTATACATACATTTGTTCTCTGCTCCTGACTACGGAGGTGACCAGCTGCTTCAAGGTCCTGCCTTGACTTCTCTGCCATGATGGAGATCATAACCAAGAACTGTGAGCTAAAGGAAGTCCCCTCTCCACACATTGCTTTTGTCTGGGTACTTTATCACAGGAACAGGAACTGAAACTATAGGTTCCACACCCAGTATTGGGAAAAGTAACTTAAAATAATAGTAATACTAATAACAACACTTGAGGGAACACTAGAAAAACCTGTAGCAAGTGACTGCAACTTGAATTTTAGAAATGCTGTTGCTTAGCATGAGGCTGACCGGATGTGCTCTATGCAACGAGTAGCTGAGTTAGCAAATGAAGGGCTGCATGGGGAATCAGTAAAAGTGAAGAAGCCTCTACAGCCCAGGTTCTCAATACTGGCTTTGCTGGCTGTGTGACCTTAGGCAGATTCCTTAACGTCTCTATGCTTGTTCCCTTTGATGGTGTTGGTAATGCAGTAGTTACTGACTGCATTGTTTGCCGGTGTGATCCTGGTGCAGCTTAGGGGCTCGGGTAGGACTTTGCTAGGACTGGCTCTTCATGTTATTACTTGCATCTGGATAAAATAATTATAGCACATCCCTCTAAGAGTAAAGTCTCAGATACAGAACAGGTTGGCTAGGAAAATGCATGGCTACCAGTGCAGGACCCTGACTCTAAGACATTTGTACACAGGCAATAACAATAAAACTTCTTATACTGGGAAGGAAACCCATCTAAGAACAACAAACCTGCAGTGAGGAACTTGATCAGGAGTCACAGGGGCCACTGGGAGGCTGCTGCTGGGGCTGAACAGCCTTTCTACTTTGTCCCATCACCCTCTTCTTTCTTCCTAGCTCTTCTCTGTTCGAAGTCAGTAAAGCCAAAGCCGCCAGAGTTCTGCCAGCACACAGGCTCCACCGTAATCTCGGGCCAGCTAAAGCATTTCGGCAGAGGGTACCTCTATGACCCCATCAGCTGCAGTGACCATGACCTGCTGACCTTGACCTACCTCCTCCCAGTAACTAGCTGGGGCAACAGCCCTGCTGGGCTGTGACACCTCATGGTTAGAGCCACAACGATGAGAAGCTGGGGCCTGTGTCCACACACATTCACCAGCCCTGGGGCCTGGCTGCCCGACTCTCCACTGCTAGTGGCAGAGATTTAAAACCTGTCCCATCTACATGACAAACCAGGACCCCATACTACTGCCAAACCTCAGCTTTCTCACCCCATCTTTGCTCTCTGGCTTCTCTGGGCCCTCCATAAAGACAGGTATTTACTGGAAGGACAGGAAGGACAGAGGAGCCCTGTGGGCACTAGATAGATACAGCGGTACCTGAAGGTCACCCTGACTTTGCACTTCTCAGTTTATTAGACGGATATTCTTTTTTATATAGTTGCTATCAAAAATTACCTGTCTTGTAAAGTATATGTATGTGTGCGCTGTACACGCACATGCACACACAAATCTGCAGGTATACATATGTGTGGAAACCAGAGGCTGATGTCAGGTGTCTTTCTCTATCATTTTCCACATTGATTTTTTTTTTGAGACAGGGTCTCTCACTAAACCTAAACTGATTTGGTGTGACTAGCCAACCGGCAAGCCCCAGAATCATCCTATTTCTGCCTCCTCAATGCTGGGATTACAGGTGTGCTGCTATAGCTTTGCACATGGTGCTGGGGATTCAAACCCAGGTCCTTAGGCTTGAGCAGCAGCCACTTTAACTCCTGGGTCATCTCCTAGCCCCATGTCCTGTATTTGCAAGTTTTTCCCTACTATTGGATTTGGTGTTGTGAACCATATAATGCCTGGGTGCTGCCCTGACCAGACCTCTGGCCACAAACTTACCAGCAGATTAAACTTGCCAACCCCCATAACCACGCAGGAAACTCCTCCTCATAGTCTTTGTTTGTTTCTTTGGAGAACTCTGAATCAACATTGGCTCAAGGTCATCTCAGCCCTCCAAGGAGGATAAGGAAGAAGCAACTCCTTCATCACGGTGCCCACTGGGAGCACCCACTCAACCTGCCCCCCACCTCACTCAGCACCCTCAAATCTTACTGGAGCAGGCCCTCTCCTGGTCTGGGAACACAGTCGGGGGCTGTGGATTCAGGACCAACTCTGGTTTGCTGGGAATGAAGACTTCAGCATTGTCCTTCCGCTTAGCGGATAAAACCCGCTCCATTTTATTACCTGTGGGGAAGCAATGGATTCTATCAGCCGCTGAACACGGGGAGAGCAGGGCTCAGACATTTGTTTACCATTTGCTCACTTATTCACTCAACAAATATTTATTGAACACTTCTGTGCCAGGAACCTTGCTAGTCGAGGATTTTGGGAATGCTGTAGACAGCACTGATAAATAAATGAGATACCTTGGAACAGACACAGGTTTCAGTGTCTAACATTTCCAGACAGGAGAGGCTCTTCCTAACAGTGTGTGCACGCACAGAGACAGCAACTGTGATGAGGCACTTGCTCAAAAAGTCAGGGTGGTTGGCTAGCCAATGAGGCGCTGGCTTTAATTGGTGCAAGTAATGGTGCCAGCAAGGGCATCTTGGAGATGAAGGGGCACAGTAAAATGCACTCACAGTCCTCAGGGGCTCATTGTCTAGCAGGATAAAAGGAGAGCCGAACAGATGAGAAAATAGGATGCAGACAGAAGTCATGAAGCATAGAGCCAGAGGACAAGGTTGGCAAAGGTGCACAGGGTGATGATGAAGAGGGATTCTTGTGGGTGAGTAGCATATTACCAGGCCACCAAGGCAGGGCCATCCCAGATATGGGACCAGCACATGCAAAGGCCTGATGAGGGCTTGAGAGCTGAAGCCTGTCCTCGCTGGAGGTGTAGACTGCTGCCAAACCCACCCTCTTCAGATCACTGTTTCCACAAGAGCCCTTAGCATGGTGGCACACAGGAGATTTCTGATGCCAGGTGGCAGATGGTTTTTATGAATTTGTGTGTATGTGGCGCTGGGGACAGACTCTAGAAGCAGGGTGTCAGGCATGTTGGGCTAGTACTCCACTCTGAGCCTCAGCCCCAGCCCTGAATGCATTTCTGTATCTTCATATATATGGGGAAATGTAACCAGCATGTCAAACCTTTGAAGGGCATGAAAGTCACACACAGGTCAAGTGTTGGGAGGAGGCTCAAGGGCAGGTGAGAAAACACCCAAAGACCCCAAAGGCTGCACTCAGGGACCTCCTGTCCTGGGAAATAAGCAAACCCAGGAGGTGACTACCCCAGCATGAGGTGTTCACTAACACACTCCCCTGCTCACTCAGTGGGCTCTGGCCACACTGACCCTTTCCTTGTGCTTTGGAATAGTTAGAATCGACCCCCTTGGAGCCCCTATGCCTGTTGTTCCTTGCCCCAGGAAGGCTGGGCCCAGCGCTACCTCTACTGGGAAGGCTGCCCCGACTGCTCCAGCTACAGCAGCCAGTCCCATCCCCACCAGCATTGCTGTAGTGGTCAGAGGTCACCTATAAACACATGTCCCCCTACCCAAGCCCCGCTCCACTAGTGTTCCCTCTACTTTCCAAGGTTGCTTTCTGAAAAACCTCCTCTGGTGGACAGCAGCTGGTTCTACCTCCCTAGCTTCCTTCTTATTCTCTCAGATTCCTGTTAACCACCCCACCCCTGCACATGAACGGGTGGAGACAATCACTCTTAATCCTATCGGCTAGCCTGGTTCGCCAGCCCCCGAGAGGTAAGTCCTGACCTTATCACTGTGCAGTGATCTGTGGTAGACTTGTCACTATGGTTGTGACCTGAGGTAGACTTACTACTGTGATTTTCTGAGAGCTAAACCTGGGACTTTTGGGAAAGATAAACGGACTTGCTAGTGGTGCTCCAAGGCCCATGCATCCTATGAAGGCAACTGTGCCTCTAAATGCCTGAAAGCTACCTCAGACTGGACCTAACTCAAGGCAAATCTGATAGAAGAGGGGAAGCAATAGGAGGGAGGAGAGGAGGAAAGAGGGTAGAAGAAAAGAGGAGGTAGCGAAGAGGAGGAAGGACAGGGGAAGGCAATGGGCCCTACTCCCACTCTGGCCTTTACAGTTATCCAAGGCAATAACTAGCTTCCTTTTACGTTGGCCAGCTGGAATGCAGATGCCACTAAGTCTCCCACAATACGTGCAGTCAGTCTCCATGGTCTTTTGGGAGCCTATGGAGCCTTTCCCTCTGCAGTGCAAAGGGCCCAGCTGGTTCACCCCTGGTCTGGAATACTGAACGTCAAGCACTGTGGAACATTACATCCTTGGACTAGGTGCTGAGACACACAAGGCCAGAAAAGGCTCAGGAGAAAAGCTCACTTTTAGAAGCTGGGTTAAACTCCATCACCACAAGGGTATCTGTGCCCTGGGGAGGCCGGCCTTCCAGTTCCTGGTCCTTGGGGGCATCCTGGCTGGGAAGAGGGAACTCATCTCTGGTATGGCCTGGCAGTACAAGGTCCTCGGCCTCGGTCTCAGAGAGGACATCTTCCTCAATGGAGTCGTACTCGTCACTGGAGCCATCCTCTTGCGTCTGGAGGTCCGTGCTAAGTCCCAGACCTTTTTTCGGTTCCTACAGAAAGCCCAGGAGATGTGAAATGTAAGAACTTGTATGAAAACAGACCTTCTGAACCAAAGAACGACTCCACCTAACATCCAGCAGCACCTAAACCAGAGTGCTGGTGTTGCTTTGAAGATGGAAAAACAAAGATCAGAGGGGAATGGATGTGAGGGAATGAGTAACACTTAGGTACCTGATCTTAGTCATGCTGTGAAGAAACACCACAACCAAGGCAACTCTCATAAAACAAAGCATTTAATTGGGGCTTGCTTACAGTTTCAGAGGCTTAATCTGTTATCGTCACTTAAATGTATTGTATGTGTATCTAAAATAAGTGGGAGAACCCAAACTGACAATGATAGGAACCTGGATGTGAGAGCTGCCGCTGGCTTAGGAAACGAGGGACATGAAGCTAGAAGACAGTGATCCTGCCACGTGATAAACGCTGACACAGCTATTTCCTGGGGTTCCATAGGACACAGAGCTCATCAGTGTTGAGCCTGGGTATTTAGCTGGGCAGATTTCTAGGTGAAGAGCTGAAGGTCTTTCCAATAGCTGCTGAGCAGAATGCAAGAGGCAGAAGACAGACCTGAGGGAAAGGGAACCTGAGGCCTCCTTTCTTCTACCCAGCTTGCAGAAAAAGCTGACATTAGCAGACCTACTGCCAGGAAAGCACATCCTAGAGAGAAAACCAAAGCAATGGCAAGCTCTCCCCTATGGTTTGTGGATTCCTTGGGCTACTTTAGCAGAGACAGGATTATCCAAGAAAGATTGGGGAGGAAAAGGAGAGTCTAATGAAGGGAATCCTACAGACATACATAGTAACCCCATGTGGTTTCTGAGAACACTCAGCTACCAGAAACACTAAAGCTAGAACTTCAGCATGCAAGACAAGATGGAGGAAAAAAAAAAAAAAAAAAAAAAAAGGCTGCCAGAGTGCTGGTCTACTGGCACAGAAGGGACCCAGGACAGACTCATCCACAAACACATGCTGTCCTCTCTGAGGACCTCACCAGGGCTGAGAGAGTGGAGTCCAGACACAGAATTACTACCAGGCCTAGAATGGCTTTGATATTGCTTGAGTTTAAGGGTTCCTGTCTTCTTCTTGTCTCAAATGTCTGTGTTTGTTGTTCCATAAGTAAAATAGATGTGAATCTTGTTGGGGAGGGGGTAGGTAGTGGATAACAGTAGACAATAAAAGTCCCCAAAAGATGCTCCCTGGGACCTGAAAACATGTGCCCTTCTATGGCAAAGGTGATTTGCCAAGACCACCAAGGCAGGCCTGATGTAATTATAGGGTAATCATAAGAGAGAGGCAGGAAGAGCAACATCAGCAAGATCTAAGAATGGAAGCAGACACCAGGAAGAGGAGAAGATGCTGGCTCTGAATGTGAAGAATGGAGCAAGCAAAGCAGGTGCCTCTAGGACCCAGGTTCTTTCCTGGAGCCTGCAGAAGAAACACAGGCCTGCCAACACCTTGAGTTTAGCCTCCAACAGTGAGATTGAATCTCCGACTCCCAGTACTGTCAGGTAAGCTGCTAAGGCAATGGGAAGTTGTAGCAGCAGCAGAAACTCAATATAAACGCGTGTCTTTTCCAGCAACTTCTCCCACTGTCCCACCCTGTACCAGCACGAGGGCTGGTTACTTAGCAACTGCACTACTGTCTGGAGCACCGTGGGGCTTGGTAAATACTTGCTGAATGAGTAAACTATATGGAAGCCTGGATGGTGCCTTAGCAGGGACAGGACACATCTCCACACCTTACGTGTGGTGACAGCAAAGGCCCCTTACCAAATTCGTTTACTCCTCTGAGCCATACTTTGACCTACATCAAATGGTGTACCCTGCCTGACACACTGCATTGTGATAATAAAGCCATGGTCTGAACTGGGCATAGTTGTCCCTAACAAGAGGACATTTGGCAATGACGAGAGCTATTTTAATCACAACGTGTGTAGAGAGAAAGTGCTGCTGACAGTTAGCAGGTGGGAGCCAGCAACAATGCTGCTGGACTTTCTGGAAGGCAGTGGACAGCGTCCACTTCAAAGAATTATCTGGTCACAGTGTCTACTGTGTTGAGGTTAAGAAGCCCTGTGTTAGAGCAAGCACACTTTCACCATCGGTGTTCAAAGATAATGCTGAGATAGTCTGTGCAGGCCTCATGGGAGCCACACTGAGGTCGTGGCTCATGTCATCAAAGTCTGGCTGTGGGGGGCAAATGGAGGTCAAGAGACTTACTCTTTCTCTCCAGGGAAACATGAGTTCCTGGGTGGCCTGCTGTTGAATTGCAGGCAGCATCAGCTTCAACTCAACCTTTTACAGCAGAATAATGCTCTGAGCTCTGTACCACACTCAGGTCCTTCTCCTTTGATCTTCACAATAACCCAGTCAGACAAAAAAACCCATGACCACTTGAACTTGGTACTAATTCTCAAGGAGGGGAGCTTAAGTTTCTAGGAAGACCTTCTCTGTTCATGAACCCCTGTATTTTACCCCAGTTACTTTTAAGATGCGGAAATGAGAGCCAGCCATGAGGTGATTCCTATCACTGGTCCTTGAAATCCCACTCCGTCCTGGGACCCAGAACAGTCCCCACTGATATGCAAGGCAGAGTGAAGCTCTACCCACAGCCAGTTCCAGGCATGAGCCACTGGGACCCTACGGCCAGGGCAATGAACAGGGGTCTTCTGTCGCCTCACTTCCACGTCCACAGGCTGCAACTCCACACTTATGGGGCTACAGCCCTGTATTTGTGGGGGTCCCTAAAGAACAGAGCCCCTCAGTACATGTAGCTGCTCACAGTGATTAAACGGCAGAGGTGGAACTTGTGCTCCTAGCCACCAGTCCTTACTCATTCTAGGAAAGCCACAGTTAAGGCTGCCTTGCTTGCATTCCACATGGCCCACCAACAGGGAGCATGAAGGAGTAGTTAGCCATTCCATGAGAGATGCCCAGCTCCCCAGGGGCTCCTGGGCCACAAACTGTTCAGAGCACATCACCTGTGCCTTAACTTTAGGGCCCACGGCCCACGCTGCAGTGTGTGTATGTATGTATTTAAATGCTGGGGATGTACCCCAGGACCTTATACATGTCAGTTAAGTGCTCTACCACTGAGCGATAGCCCTAGTCTTGCTTTTATGAATCAGGGTCTCACTAATCATGTGCCCATGCATATTGAGATGTGGTGCTGATGGCTAGTCACAGTAGAAACAAGGATACAAGACCTCTGCCTTCACCAGAGCATGTGGTGTGCTAGGGGAGCTAGCAGAAAAAGAAAAAAAAAAAGAAAAAAAAAGCAAATGACAATTCCCATGGCTCCATGTCAGTTCATTATTTACTAAGCTGATGGATCATAAATTGGTGCCTAATTCAATTGTCATCAAAAAGTCATCATCCAGCAACTGATACAGAGACCCACAGCCAAACACCAGGTGAAGCCAAGGGAACTTTACAGAAGAGGAGGAGGAAGGACTTCAGGAGCCATAGAGGTTGATGCCATAAAAACACGGCCCACAGAATCAACTAAACAGGGCTCACAGAAACTGAAGTGACAATCACAGAGCCTTCACATATCTGCGCTAGGTCCTCTGTGTATATATTATGCTTGTGTAGCTTGGTTTTCCTGTGAGACTCCTAACAGCGGGAGTAGGGGGTATCTCTGACTCTTTTACCTGCACTTAGGACCCTTTTCTCCCTATTGGGTTGCCTTGTCCAGCCTTGATATGAGTGTTTGTGCCTAGTGTTGTAATTTGTTATGCCATGTTGAGTTGATATCCCTGGGAGGCCTGCTCATTTTTTTAGAAGGGAAATAGAGGAGGAGTGGATCTGGGGAGAGGGGAAGTGGTGGAGTGGAGGGGAACAGGCTGGGGAAAGTAGAGGGAGGGGAAACTGTGGTTGGAATGTAATATATGAGAATAATAATTTAAAAAACTAATATTTTTCATGACAAAGAAACTGAATTTCAATAATCCCTGTTTCAACCTGCTTTCTTTTCCTTCCACAAAGTCAATGTAAATTTAATGACCATACAGTATTTACACACACACACACACACACACACACACACACACACACACACACACACAACCTAGACTCTGCACAGCTGTTCTTTTTCACTGAGAAAAAGACTCCATTTGCTCACAGGAAGGGAGGACCTGGGGAACCTGGGATGCTCATGTGGTCAGAAACCATCTGTTCCAGAGGCAAAGGGGAGCTGAGCTAAGAAGCTGGTTCCCCTAGAGAGGAGCCCATTTAGGACCTCCCATCTGCCAGAGCAGGACCTTGGCTGGAATGGTGGCTTTGAAATCCAATCTGTCTGCACTTCAAAGTGGTACCCTGCTGTGGGATCTATGAGAGGCTTTGAAGTTGTCACCCAGAATTTTCTCCAGGAAAACTTATACTTTATACTTTGCTTTAAAACTTGGTTATATTCAATTTCAGTGCTCAGTGTTTCAAATGAGTTCAGGAACACCTCTCCAAGCCTTCCATGTGGAGGCCAGGGTGCAGACAACACAGAAACTGAGCTGATGACTGGGCACAAAATGCCCTTCCCATGGTGAGTTGGAAGGGGTAGGAGACCGGATACTAAGGATAGGTGTGGCTATAGAACCACTACTAAAATGTAGCTAGAATTCGATGGCCAGGATCTGAGCGTCCATCCACAAGCCTCCTCTCTCTACTGGGCAAGGAGTGGAAACTAGGTGACTATCAAATACCAGTAACAATATCCATATCATCGGTAACAGCCATAGCAGCTTAAACCACCACGCTGCTGCTTACACCCTAGAGCAGCTAAATTCTCTGTGTGCCTCCTTTCAGTCCTCTGACGCTCTGCAGTGGATGGCATCATTTTGGTTCAGCGGCATGAAGGACAAGCCCAAGGTCACACCGGTAATGGCAGAGCCAGTGTTCAGATACTGGCAGGGTCCAGGGCTAGGCTACTGAGCACACTCATTTCCTGCCAGATGCTAACAAGAGCAGACGGTCTCCAGAAGAACTGAAGGTATGCGCT